TCCGAGTGTTCCAACCATTCACCGAGGCTAACCAGTTTGTCCGAAAACCTAACCAAAGGAGGAAGCCATGAATAAAACCAGGTCTTAAAATGTTTCCTAACTTTTCAAAAGTGATATTTAGAGGATAAGTGATTGAATTTTCGTTGTTATTATGAATTAAATTATTGAGCAAATTATTGCTATAATAAAATCTACATGTAAAAGGTTCTTCGTCATTTCTTAGCCAATAATCAAACAAGTTATAGGGAAATTTAACTGTATTAGCATAAAACATACTGGGTTCAATTGGACTATCTCCGGTATGCTGCAAAGTAGAAGTAAACATCCGAGCCGTGTGTTGCTCTTGTATTTTTTGGTTTTTCTCTCTCTGCATAAAGGTTTTGCCTCGTTCTCTGCCGGTTATAATATCTTTAGCTATTTCGTGTTTGGCAACATCAAAACCACTAGTATTAATACCAAAGAAACTACCAACAGCTTGCCTTAAACCATCCATTGTTTTGCTTACCCCATCAATCATTACTTTTACTAAGTTCATGTTTACTATACCTTGTCTGACTTCGATTTTTCATTTGAAGAAGATATGATTGCTGAGGAAAATTACATAAGTTCCGCTAGGAGTTGCTCTAACTGTTCAGTCTACTCTCATTTGTTTGCCACCATTACCTTGAAAATCACCAATATCTAAATAGTCTAAGTTTGCCGTAAATAAAGAATTACGGAGAAAATAAAACTGAAAAGTGGAATGATAAGGCAAATGAGGTTGAGTGTTTCAAATTTCTTCTGGAATGGGAATAAGTAATTGCTTTTCCCTTACATAAAATAAATCTCTATTAGCATAATAATCAGCCGGAGCAATAAAGGTTTGATATTCTTTTTCAGTTAGCACGCTTCAAAAGTCTTGTTCCACTTTCTTAACTTCATAAAAGCCTGGTATAAAAATTTCAGTGTCAGGAATTGTCCTGTCGCCTCCATCATCCATGGTTTGTTTAACTTTAAAAAGAGCAAAGTTAATATTTTCAGTTCAAGGAATATCGATAATACTTTTGGTTCCTAAATCTTCACAAAAAGGATAATGCAAATGTTTATTTCTACAATGAGGACAAATTGTAAAGTGTTCCATAATTAATTAAGGCACTCCTCTCCCATCTCCTCCGCCCAACCCGGAACCAACTCTAAATTCTTCACAAAGCACATACAATTCTCCTTATGAGCATTTCGCCTATCTTGGGCATAGGGGCAATTCTCATCCTTGCCTTCTCTTTGTAAAAAGCCTCAATCATAAGCCCCTACTTCTGGCAAACCTCGCTCTTCTTCTAAAAAATCACTCACCAAGGTCGGAATTAACTTTAAAAGGATATTATTTTTGGCGCCCCTAATCGAGAAAGTCCAAGTTAAAGTTTTCTTTAAAAGTTCTTCCTGGTCAAAAAGGTTAAATATTTCCTCCCAGTTCTTAGAATAAATCCTCCGAAAAGCATTATCTAACTCTTTTAATTCTCCTCTTAAAACTATCCTTACTACTTCCAACCTCTCTTCATAACCTAACGGCAAAACTTCCACTCTTATCGCAAATCTATCGGCGACAAAAGTAGGCACATCCTGCGACCTGTTCACCGTAGCAATAAAAACACACTCATTAGCCGGAGTGGGAAAGTCTAAAAAGGTATCCGTAAAGCCTTTATTGCCGGTAATATCGGTCGGAATTCCCGCGGCTTCTTTACATTCACGGGCGGCTTTTTCAATCTCGTCAAAGCAAATCACTACGCCTCTATCTTCTCTCCGCGAAATAGCTTTTAAAACTTCTCCCGGTTCGGCTCCGGGATTTTCAATGTTAGTCCCTAAAATAAGCGAAGCGTTAAGTTTCCCATTCATGCCGACCATATGAAAACCTCTCCCTAAAGCTTTGGCAATGGCCATGCTAATATAGGTCTTCCCCAGACCCGGTTCACCTAAGAGCATAATCATTAACTGGGCGGGAGGTTTAGTATTATTCCTTTTAGCAAAATGATAGCTGCGCAAATACTTCTCCACAATTTCAATAATATTCTGGTAGCCGATTACCCGGGTGTAGCCTTCTTCTTCTCCTCTTATGCGGCTCCGGAAGGTTTCCCTAGGGGGTAATTCTAAATATTCTGGTTCATAGGCTTTTAAACAGCCTTCTAAGGTTTTCAACCGTAAAGCGATACGGGGCTTTCGGTTAGAAGTGTCGGGGAGTTTTTTATGTTCTTTTTCGGTTTTTTCTTGTAAGATTTTTAGTCTTTGGAGGTAAGGTAAACTTTCGTCTCATTCGTTAGCGATAGGGATAATTGGCCGGCCGCCAGTTTCTTCGGCGACAATTTCTTCATACTCTACTTGGCTGACTCATCTCCTGCGGCCCGTTTCGGGGTCAATTACCGGGACTACCGAGCAACCGAATAACTTTACCATTAATTTATCAAATAAAGGGTAGAATTTGGCTAGTTCAATCACCGTAAAAGAAAAAGCATTCAGGATTTTACCGAGCACGGGAGCTAGTTCGTAGCTGTCTTGGGTAATGGTGGAGACATTAGCGTCTTTGTTAGCTCGCATGTATTCTTTATTAGAGTGATTTTGCTTAGCCGTAGTGCTATTGCGGTTAGAGGTTCGGCTTCCTTGCCCTTGTTCTTGGCTTTGGGTGCTTAGTTGTTGTTGGCGAGAAAAGCCGCCATAATTGCCCGAGGTTAGGTCGACATTAGCGAAAGCTGGAATATTCTTTTGATTGCTCTGTTTTTGGTCGCTTCAATTAGCGTTTTCGTTGCCGCTAGTAATGGTCTTGCCGCCTTGGATTTGGGTTTTATCATAGTTTTGTCCGGTGCGGGTGTCCGTTTTTAAGGTTAGCTTTTTAAGCCATTGTTTGCTATCGCGGAATATATCCGTTCAGAGTTGTTCTTTACGGCGGATTTCTACAATGGCCGTGATAGTGTTGGTTTTGAATTTAGCTATAAAAACATCCTCGTAAGGTTCAAAGCTCGAATATTGGTAGCGGTCAAAGTAATGCTTGGCAATGGTGATAGCTCCTAAGCCAAAGCCTCCGCCCGCCAAAGTTTTTTTGATTTCTTCATGGGTAAGGGTGGCCGGAGTGTAAGAATAAATTATTTGCTCTAAATCTTTTTTAAATTCTAGTTTGGTTCAGAACTCGGCAAAGCCTCCGGGGAACATTCTGGCTAAGGACATTTTAGGCACTGCTCTTGGTTCGTCTACCATAATTCCTCCTTTTTAATTCCAAATTCTTTGGCTAATATCTCCGAAGCCGAAGAATAAGGGTATTTAGCCCATAAGTCATCGGTGATTAAGTCGGCTTCGTTGAATTCTTTTAAGTTAGGGTGGCAAAGGGAGCAAATGAGGTAGACTTGGAGAGTGAAGTCAAGTTTCATTTTGTTTGGTATTTCGTTTTTGGTTTGCTGGCAAGTGTGACAAATAAAGTCTGACGGTTGGGGCTTGGCTTTTTCTTGCTGAGCTTGGACACGGGCTTTTTTGGAGCAAGCCAGGCAAAAAGAGAACTTACCAAATTGGCGGCTTAGTTCTTGGTTAGATTTAGTTTGCTGACAGTCAGAGCAGAGGAAGGTTTTGGTTTCTTTTGTTGGGGTTTGTTCTTGGTTTTTAGCTGGTTTTTTTAAGGCTTCAATAGTTTTCTCATACTCGGCTTTCTCTTCCCCGGCTAGTTTGATAATAGTTTGGATTTTCCCTTCTAGTTTTTTACTTGCTCGGCTAATTCTTGCTTTTTCTGCTCGTCGGCTTTTTTTATCTCTCTATGTAATTCTATTTGCTTTTTTAAGGCGAGGATTGAGCCAGTGGGGGCTGTTAGGGGCGTTGGTATACTATCGGCCACAATAGGAGGAATAGTGCTGGTTGGTTGCTTAGTGGGCTTTAAAGGGGCATTATCGCTTCCGCATCCTTCATCCTTTATCTCTATGGGGGAGGGTAAAACTTCCTTAGGCTTCGGTTTAGCGCGGGTTTTCTTTAAATCACTAGGTTTAGTTCCGGGTTTGATTTTCTCTAAGAGTTCTTTTTGGAGTTGGTTTTTATTCATGGCTTCCTCCTTTGGTTAGGTTTTCGGACAAACTGGTTAGCCTCGGTGAATGGTTGGAACACTCGGA